TTGGGGGGGGGGGCACCACATATTTTTTACATTTACGTTTTTTAAATACATTTTTTACTAACTGTGGCGCCTTGAGATTTTGCATACTTTTAAAAGTTGACATGACTGAAAAAGGTTGAGAAATGCTGGTCTATACAAATACCTGAGAGCATGAGTGTTAAGAGACACCCTTAACAAAACAAATAAACAAACAAACAAACAATAACATAGACAGATTACTATTCGGTAAAAGAGCGTATGCAACTGACATTATACTGGGATCATGATCACAGACTCAATAACTTGTAACGTAAGTTTTGTTCTAGAGTAGGAATATAACACTATGGTTGGTGTCATTTGGCACCTTAGAGACATCTGGTGGTTACATTAGGTAATGCAAAAAGAATCTACTGTACTGTCTAGTTGTTCAAAACAATTTATGTAATTCTAAATATTGCTAATAAATGAATTGAAATGACTAACTAATTTGCTGCCATTATCCCTCATGCTAGGGCTAGGATAATGTGTCTTGACTGATTTTTTTTTTATACAATCTTTTTACATATTTGTCAGGCTGGGCAACTGTGGTAGTATTTTTACACTTTAAATGTCACCTTTTAGAACATGTTTCATGTAGGGTTGCCACCTTTTCTTAATGTGAAACCTGAACACTTTAGCGCCGCATGGCAATTTTTTAGGAGAAAATACAGGAGAGAGCAAGGAGAGATGCATATGTTTATGTTGCATGCATTAAAGATAATAAGTGCCAGTATATATACTCCCAGATATTTCTTATCAGTCACAGAGTTCACAGTACCTCACTCCTCCTGGTGTTAAACTCATCTCCTCCCTGATCCAGTGCTGGTTTAGCATGGTTTTTAGTGTAAACACACTATGACGATCAGTAGATCCACAGAGGAATCTACCTTGTTTTAGTTATATCTAACCTCAACTGACTATATCTCTGGATCTGATTTTTGTGACAAGGAGGATACCCTAGACAGGGGCCACAAGGTGTCTATTGCTATCTTTGCTGACCACATTTTTTCCCCTCAGTCTACCTCTAAAACCACTTTGTTTCTAGGGGCCCAACTTTATTTATTAGGGGCTAACCTCCACTAGCTTCCATCCCTTTGTCCAATAAAAATGGCCATTAAAGTGCCATTGTGCACAATGTAATTTGAATTTTAACAGTCTTCCCATGATCTTTCTTGGAAAAAGGAACAGTTGACTCAAAATGAAAGTTAGACACCTGTTTAGAGTTTAAAAGTCAATGAACCAAGTTTAACCTACCCATGTTAAAGATCATAAAACTTTACATGCTGTTCTCCCTGTGTTTGCATGGGTACTCCGGTTTCCTCCCACACTCCAAAAGACATGCTGGAAGGTTAATTGGCTCCTGTTTAAATTGGGCCTGTGTGCATGTGAGATAGGGACCTTAGATTGTAAGCTCCATGAGGGCAGGTACTGATGTGAATGTGCTCAATGTAAAGCACTGCATAAATTGTTGGCACTATATAATACCTGTTACCAGTAACCAAACGTTGCTGAATTTATACAACAAAAAATACATTTAAAACAGCAGCCTTACTGAGCCACACCTGGAGGGATGGATAAAGGGAAACAAATTGATATGCTCTGCTGGTCAGGCTCTGTCAATTATTAGATTGATGAAAGATAGCTGTTCTTAATATAAACCTGTATACAGCCTGCCTAAGATCTGCACTACTCCCTTGGCTCAAAGTTCACAGTAACCAAACCAGTTAAATAGAAAAATGTAATTCAGGCTGCATTCAAGGCTGAGTGTGAGTGTTTACAAGCAATTTTTGGAGTGTTTTTGAGTTTTTT